ACTACTTCAAACATTGTATATTGATTTACAGAGATAAAACATGCAAGGCATATGGAGCAATTGTACTTCAACATTTCAAAATTCAAAATTTGCAATGGGCTTTTTTTCTGCAAAAGTTACAGACTGACGGCTTTTTCAATTCAACACAATCTAGTGTTTAGTGAATAATCTATGTCAAAGCGGTCATACAGTGTAACTACAGGCCCTTGAATAAGTCTTGACAGCAGAGAGGCACATCTAAATAAAAGTAGCAGAAAATGCTAAACTAGTAAATCCTGTTTTTGGCACATGGCGATTTCCATTAGTTCCGTTAGAAAAGCTCGCCTTCCTACAGCTCGTCTTGACCTGACCGAATCACCTTAATTCTGTTGTGTTATTTTCTACTTTGTTTCCAGTCATTTCATTTCCAGTTTGCCTGCAGCAAGACATTCTAAAAGCAATTAATGCAAGTAGAATGCAAAACACTCAATTATTTTAAGAGTTGACAAAAATAGGTACAAGATCCAGGTTAAAAAGTAATCTCGATCTAAAGATGGATATCTCAATGTGTTAATTGGCTGAAAATTGTGTGTTTGTGTGTGTAATATGAATGAATGCACGCATGTTTTATTTTGCCAAATTAGGCTTTCAGATAAACAAAGAACAAAGCAACAATAAATATAATTATCAATTAGCAAGTTTACAGTGTTATTATCAGTAGAAGTGAAAAAGGTGAAAAATGGATTTAAAAAAAAAAAATCAGTTCAGTATTTTACATTTGTTTCTAAGCAAAAATGAGCTCACCGTTAGGCAATATCTGTATATATGTGAGATACGGTAGGTAGGTAACACATTGTGCCATCCAGCGATAATTCCAGCAGAATGGATCAAATTAGGGGAATATCAATTTATATGGTACCGTACCACAGCACATTCTCACATTACAGCCACCATAACAGGGTACCTGATGGGAAAATAATTATTCAAAGTTTGATAGGTGATTTTTTTATTTATACACTGAACAAAATTATAAACGCAACACTTGTGTTTTTGCCCCTATTTTTCATGAACTGAACTCAAAGATCTAAGACTTTTTCTAAGTACACAAAATGCCTATTTCTCTCAAATATTGTTTACAAATCTGTCTGTGTTAGTGAGCACTTCTCCTTTGCCGAGATAATCCATGCAATAACTGGGATACTTTCAGCTTCCAGGAATTGTGTACAGATCCTTGCAACATGGGGCCGTGCATTATCATGCTGCAACATGAGGTGATGGTCGTGGATGAATGGCACAACAATGGGCCTCAGGATCTCGTCACGGTATCTCTGTGCATTCAAAATGCCATTAATAAAATGCACCTGTGTTTGTTGTCCATAACATACGCCTGGCCATACCATAACCCCACCCGCCACCATGGGACACTCGATCCACAACGTTGACATTAGCAAACCGCTCACCCACACGACGGCATACACGCTGTCTGCCATCTGCCCTGTACATTGAAAATTGGGGTTCATCCGTGAAGAGAACATCTCTCCAAAGTGCCAGGCGCCATCGAATGTGAGCATTTGCCCACTCAGTTGGCTTATGACGATGAACTGCAGTCAGATCGAGACCCCGATGACGACGACAAGCATGCAGATGAGCTTCCCTGAGACGGTTTCTGACAGTTTGTGCAGAAATTCTTTGGTTATGCAAACTGATTGTTGCAGCAGCTGTCCGGGTGGCTGGTCTCAGACGATCTTGAAGATGAAGATGCTGGAAAGCAGGTCTATGTTCGGGGGAGTTCCCCCGAACATAGACCAGTTCACTAAGGCATGGAATCCTGCAAATCTATGTTCGGGGGAAACTTTCCCAAACATAGATTAGCTTACTCGCTAATAGAATAACTCAATAGGAGGGTGCGAGCAGGGAGCAATAAAACGCTTCTATTCAGAAGCGTCATTGCTCTCTGGTGCGCAAGCGCAGCTTTGCCGCACATGCGCAGATACTTCATAGGGCGGCATTCATGCCTCGACTAGGAGGCACCTCTAGTGGCCATCTGAGTGTCCACTGGAGGTATTCCTCATCAGTAATGTAAATACTGCCTTTTTACAAAATGGCTGTGCTTACATTAAAAAGCCTGCAAAGACATGCTCTAGACACCAGAACTACTACATTTAGCTGTTGTGGTTCTGGTGACTATAGTGTCCCTTGAATATAGAGAGGAAAAAAGAATCATCACAAATGTAAGAAATAAAATGTCTGTATCATTATTCTAAAAATTATTTTAAAAAAAATAAAAAAATATGCACATTCCTAGTTTAATTTTTAGCACGACATATGACACAAATATTTTGTACTTTGCAGATTACTTTTTATATTTTTTTATACATATACAGATTGTGTAATACTGCCCCTGACTTAGGGTGACTACATTTCCTAACTGTCATTCAGTGACACTGTCAGAAATGCATTCCATACATTTCACTATCCGTCTCTACCCCTTCCATGAATATTAGAACCACCCCTACCCCTCCCATGAATATTAGAACCACCCCTACCCCTTCCATGCACAAAAGAACCCCACCTACCCCTTCCACGCATATTAACCCCCCCTACCCCTTCCATGCATATTAGTACCCCCCTAACCCCTTCCATGCATATTAGTACCCACTAACCCCTTCCATGCATATTAGAACCCACCCTACCCCTTCCATTCATATTAGTACTCCCCTAACCCCTTCCAATAATTTTTCTACCTCCCCCCTCCTCCCATCCTTATTAGTAGCCCCCCTAAACCTTTCCAATTATTTTTCTACCTACCCCACCCCCCCATCCATATTAGTAGCCCCCTAAACCCTTCCAATTATTTTTCTACCTTTGTCCCCCCTTTTACCTGACATAGCAGGGGGACCTCTGGACATCTGGCAGGCGCAGTGTCAGACTGAGCGCCGGGTAGTCACGTGACACTCGGCCAGGGCCGGTGCAAGGATTTTTGCTGACCTAGGCAAAAGTAAAGTTTGCCGCCCCCCTCATGTGACATCACAATGCCCCACCCATATGATCTGCCATGTTAACTAACGCCAGTGCTGGAGTGCCACCGTGTTTACATGAAAAGGCCTGCAGGGACAGGCTATAGACACCAGAACCACTACATGAAGCTGCAGTGGTTCTGGGGACTATAGTGTTTCTTTAATGTGAGGTAAATTAGAGATTAGTGCCACGAATAATATGTTAGATTGCCTACTTACAACCAGATGATGATGGGCTCTAGCTGCAGTCTGGCTCCACTGGTCTGGTGTAGAACAGGCTCTCTGGAGGCTGTTTGTAACTGTGGTCACAAAAATCAATGTTCTGGGAGAACGGGAAGCAGCTCCATTTTTTGGGGGCCCTTTACACAGCTCAAGGTCTGGGTCCCAGGGTCCACCTTCATGTTCCACCAATGAGTTTGTTCACAGGGGGTGGAGTGTGTAGGGGATGTCCTGATATGTGTGTAAGAAATGCATTGTGTGAATCTGTGTTTGTATGTGTAAGGGCTGCAAGGTGTGTTTCTGTGTATGTACGGGATGCAGTGTGTGCGTCTGTAAGGGGTGCATTGAGTGTGTGTACGGGGTGCATTTAGTGTGTGTAAGGAATGCATTGTGTGTTTCTGTGTGTGTAAGGTTTGCATGATTGTGCGATTGTGTGTGTGTGTGATGGATGTCAATCTCTCTCCCTCCCTTGTCACTCTCTTTCTCCCTCCCTGTGAATTCCCCCCCCCTACCATTGTTGTAGCGTGGCCGAGCTCTGTATCATGGTCCGCGGGTACAGGGAGCTTTTGTTTCCTGTACCCGGCCGGTCTAACAGGAAGTGCACACTCAGTGCTCACTGTACCCGCGGACCAATAGAGGGCTCGGCCACACTACAGGGAGGGAGCGCTGAGCGTTTCCCTCCTGTCAGCCGCTCTCCTCGTGCTGCGCCCGGGCAGTGCGGTCCGCCCTCATGGAAGCACCGACCGGGCAAAGCTGCAGCCGCTGAGGCTCTCTACAGAGCGCTCGGGCGGCTGCAGCATGGGGGGGCGGTGGAGCTGGGGGGGGATTTCCCCATAACCTGTCCCCCCACATGATTCGCTGGGGGGGGATGCGTCCCCCCTCCATCCCCCCCGGTTCCTACGCCCATGCTCTCCCCTCCTGCCAGACACCGGGGAACCACTGGTTCTGGGCTGGTGTGGCTGTGCACCGGCCTAGAAAGTATGCCGCCGGCCCATGGTCACAGGGCCTGGAGTGACGGGCCTGTTTGCAAAGGTGACCCCTGCAACCATGGTAGGTACGCCACTGCCCACAGCTAAGTTTTAGTTAGCTATCAAGTTGTGAAAAAATCTCAGATTATAAGGAATCCTGGAGTATATGATTTGTACATACTTATACAGATAAATGTTTACATGTTGCCCTCCCACATGACAGCGTGAAATGTGCCTATTAAAAGATGTTACTGTTCCCAAGCATTTCTGGATTAACTATCAGGTATTAGACAGAGGCCAGGCAGTTCTAGAACTTAAAATTTGTGGGACAACATAGGTTACCCCACAGAAATAGATATAAATGCATGCAGTTACAAACACATACAAACACACACATTCACAAATATAGAGGCATACATACACACCCATACACAGTGGCGTACACATGACCCATGGGGCCCCGGTGCGAAAATTGATCCGTGACACCCAGATCACATCAGCTCAATGAAGTTGTCTGGGTGTCAGGTCCCTCTAGTTTTAACCCTGCAGCTGAAAACATAGCAGTTTCAGAGAAACTGCTATGTTTCACTGAGGGTTAATCCAGCCTCTAGTGGCTGTCTCACGGACAGCAGCTAGAGGAGCACACTGAACGTCCATAGGAAAGCATTGAGTAATGCTTTCCTATGGGCGGTTTGAATGCGTGCGCGGTCGCATTCGGAGCTGAGAGGCTGAGGGATCCTCGGCGCCAAGGGAGTCCGGCGCTGGAGAAAGGTAAGTGCTGAAGACACACACACACACACACTTACAGTCGCATACACACTAGCTAACAGACACACACATTTACTGACAGAGATACAGTCAGCGACAGACATACATACACACTCACTTACAAAACATACACTCTCATTGACAAACACACACTCACTAACAGACTCAGTAAGACACACACAGTAACACACTCACTGACACTCACTAGCAGACACACACACTAACACTCACTAGCAGACACACACTAACACTCACTCTAACACTCACACTAACACTCACTCTAACACTCACACTAACACACACTCACACTAACACTCACACACACACTAACACTCACACATGATTTTTTTTTTTTTTAATATAATCCCCCCAGCCTTCTTACCTCTTGGAGTGCTGGGGGGGATTATTCCCTGGGGTCCAGTGGTGCTGCTGGGCTCCTGGGCGGGTGGCCGGTCGGGCAGGCAGGCGGGCGCGCGAGGGAGCACTCAGTGCTTCCTCTTCAGCTCCCTCGCGCGCCGCGTAGGGATGCCGGCGCCGGAAGATGACGTCATCTCCCTCGCGCGCCCGCCTGCCTGCCCGACCGGCCACCCGGGGTCAGCAGGGCCAGCCTCAGGGGGGGCCGTGGGGTGATCGGCTCCTGGGCCCCCCAGGGGAAGAGGCTGGCCCTGGGCGTACATACCGGCTCGCAGGGGCGGCCGGGCCCCCTGGTGGGCCGGGCCCGGTCGCAGTCGCGACCCCTGCGACCCTGGTATGTACGCCAGTGCCCATACAGATACATTCATACGTAAACACACAGATACACTATAATATAGATGTAGCGGAGAGGTAGTATAATCCACAGTATCTCCGCTGGGTAACAGGAACAGCACAAAATAATCCAAGGAAATTAATACAGCATACAATAATCCCGGTAGCGTTATAAAAATCCTTCCTTCCCAAGAACTAGACGACACATAGGCTGGGAGTCAACTGAGCTTTTAATCACAGGTCACTGTATTTATGGGATTCCCCATGCAAGTGGTTTCCCTACTGACATTCCAGGGGTGGTAAAGTAGGGGACTACATGGAGAACTGACCAACATATACATTTCTCTCATCATGCATTGCTGGACGAGAGGGATACTCCCACTAGAATATACCGTTAAGGGGATTATCCCTCCGTGCAGCAGAACTAACATTTTACATTAAAATGCATAACTTTCTTGATATTCACTGTATTTAAACGAATGGACGTTCGGTAGATAGCTGGAGGCTGAGCGCACAGTTCGTGAGAATACCGCTCAGCTCCCAGTCTAACTAACCGAACGCCGCACGAAATACACATTATTTCCAACACACAGTTAAAATAGCGATTGCCTCTAGGAGAACAAACTGCCGAACGCCCGGGGCTCCCGAACGGCCTGGAAGTCCAGCGGTGTTCGCGCCGTCGAGTAGCCAATTTTAGTTCCAGACGACCAAACACCGCTGGGCTAACAAAGGAACAAAGATGGCCGACCGCCGCGTGGTCGGTAGCCGAACGACAGCCACCTAGGAACCCACTTAACTACCGATTGCAACAATGTTGCAATCGGTTAATGGGCGCCACACGACCTCTTGTGTGTGGTCTACCATTCGGTAGTTTATTCGTTTCACGAACAGTGTTGAAACTCACTGTTCGTGAAACTACATTAGGAATGCTGGGTTTTTCATACTGCAAGCATACGAACGCCCTCATTCGTCTGAAAGACACATACAGTAATACACTTGGTTCTCACAGCTGAAAACAGAGATATAAACACATTCAATATATGGATAGTCTTAAGTGGCTAGTTTTGCCACAATAGACCATGAAGATACTCGGTCAAACTTGATCCCACCATCCTCCCCCATACTAGCAGTGAAATGGGGACTGGTAACTTGGCAATGGCCCTGTGTGCTCCTAATCCTTCTCTGATCCCAGGGTAACGTCATTCCGCGTGTTTTCTGTGGTGAAGCCTGCTGATGAAAGCTTAGTTTGCAATATACGGTTGTAGTTTGCAGAAGTTTAATGACCAATTGAGACAATAGAGTTTCATTGTTAAGTCACGTCACCTAGAAAGGTTTGCTTCCCATTTATTCTAACGGTTTCACTTCCATATGAAACCCAATTCAAACAACATCATAAAACCAAAAAAACAATACTGGCATTCAAACAATACTATATTATGTTTACAGAAATTGTGCTTTTTACTGGGGATTTTTAATTTACTTAATTTAAATCACCTGATAAAAAAAGACAGAAAAAACTATTTAAACTTAATAATCTATTATAATATATATTAATATATAATATATTATATCTATAGAGATAGACAGATCTAGATACATTATCTCTAGTGTACATTTAAGGAATTAAGTAAGAACAGTAAACCATTACATTCTGGAAGTTTTAATGTTATGTGGTCAGTGCAGGAGGAGGTGACGGACAGGTAGCATTTTCTTGGCAGGTACCCAACACCCACTGGGTTTCCAGATGGTGACGTTTGATTTGTCACTCCAGAGAATGCGTTTACATTGCTCCAGAGTTCATTAATGGTGAATTTGATGCTATAAGAGCTAACGCTCGGCATATGGTGATTATAGTCTTGTTTGTGGCTTCTCAGCTGTGGAAATCTGTTCCATGAAGAGTGTGGCTGGGAGGGTTATTCACTAAGACATGAACTGTCTGGAATGCAAAGTGAATTCAATGTGACTTTCAATGGTTCCATGTAAGAGATGGGGGAGAGCATGGACAGGTGATGAAGGAAGGGGGGGGGGTCTGCATTCCTATGGCAGTAAATTCTAGAGATGATGCAGTGCAGGAGAAGTTGTGTAATCTAGAGAAGACGGTATTGATGAGAGGTTCAGCAGCGAGGTCAGGAGAAGAGTAGAGAGGTCGAGTGGGGGAGTACTTAATCATAAGGGCAGAGATGTGAGAGAGGGATTTAAAGAGAGGATTGAAAATCATCCCCCCAGCTATCCACAATCCCCCATTGTTTTGTGAGGGAGAGTCACATTTTTGACACTAGTGTATTAATGGTAACAGTGTCTGGTTTTAGAAACTTGCAGAGGGCTATTAGTAAATGTGTGCTTGTATGCGCCTTGCTAACAGAGCAGAGAATGCTGCTCTCTAAATATAGCGATCTTAAAAATCAGATCTGTGAGCAGAGCAATGCGTCAGGCACTCATCTGGTTCTCAATGGGTTAAAAACACGATGGGAGTTATTTTACTAAACAAGGAGGTACTGAGGCTGAAAACCCAAATGTGACACAATCTGCACTTTTAGACTAACAGGGTTATTTACTATAGTGAGATTTCAAATTGAATTCAAAGTGAGTTTCAAATTTAAGAACAGAGTAGCCGAACTGAAGCCATAGCTGACTCAGTGCTATTTTAGGATTATTCTGTAATTTAACAGGGAATTGTACATTTAGGTCTAAATAGTTTAATTGGAAAAATTAACCCTGCGTGTGAACATAGTGTTAGAATGTGTTAGAATACAAAATCTATATTTTTCTAGTGTAAATACAATTATCTGGACAGATCCATAGAAAATAAATAAATAAAATAATAAAATAAGAGTTGGCTCTGTTTTGTTATTACACAAACACAAAGATAAAAAAAATAAAACATCTGATGTCAAAGGGACACATTTTGATTGTATTTTCTCTAGTAACTTTGTCTGAAATACTGTTCATTTGGGTTTGTAAAAATCTTGATTCTTGCAGTGCAACCACTTTACAGGAATTGTGTATTTATTTTTGCAGTGTCTGACATGTGGTTTATTTTGTGGTTCTTTGACTGGCAAAGGTCAGTGCCTGCCCTGTTTGTAAAGACAAGGAGGCCAGCAGAAGGCGCTGTGACCTCTCCCTGCAGGACCCTGGGAAGCAGCTTGGCTAGAGCTATGCAGGGGTGACAGCAGTCTACATGTGATAAGTCACAGGAATACAGTGTCTTGGCTACTGACACCCATGATCAATCTTGATTCTTTGTCTGCTGAAGCCTCACTGTCTACTTACACTCCAAATATACTTTTATCAGCTGTTTGTTGACATGAGCTGTTAACCCTTTGCTTGACTGAAGAGGTCTGCAGATCAGTACAATACAATGTAGCACAGGGGGGAGAGAATGCAAAAATACAAACACTAGCTGATTGATACACTATGGGTATAATGGTACATTTTTAATATATAATTTTCTTAATACCTAGATACTACATTCAGGGGAATCACTTAGTAAATTTTCTAAAACCTGTGAATTCGCTGAGAGAAATATTCAGCAAATATTAGGGCATTGACAAAATGTTTGTCAAATATTAGTGCAAAATGAATTTTGTATTTTAAGAAATATTTTAACTATTACTCGATAAAGGCAGCACCTCACACAAAACAAGGCAAAGTTCAGGCATTTCAGGACTGCAACACCCACCACACTAAGCTAAAGATGAGATTATGGAGGGTATTTGTGATTTGCATTCCAACAAAAAGCTGTTTACACCTTGTCCTAGTAAATTAGTGAATGATTAGCAAGGAGGCCACACTGCGTCAGACACTGTGAATCAAGAGAGGCTGATATACAGCATGTCTCAAAACCCCAGTCTCCCTGTGCTAAATATATCAATAGAATAAAAAACAAAGAGGAATACACTTTGTAAAAGATACATTTTTATTAAATTCCTGCTAAAATATGTAATATGTAAATTTACAAAATCAATGCAAAGAACACTCTATAAAAATACTATAACAACAATAAATCGAAGAAATCGAATATAGGAATTCGAGAGATTAAACAAGTTGGTGGAATAACATATCAAGGCATGAACTAAACAGACGTTACAGAGAGCATACAAATACAGGCAAAACCGGTGTTAGAGAGGGAGGGGCGAACGCTCACAACGTTTCGGCTGTGAGCGTTTCTGGCCTGTGTGTAAATATAGGTTTTTTTATTCCATGTTTTTCTTTTGTATAATTACATCATTATTTCTTATGATCCTCTTTTAGAACCTGTGGAATAGCATGGTGCTGTGCTCCTGCCATGGTGACTGGTTGAGAATCTGGGGACCTGGATGTTCTTCTGGCTGGATTAGTGGCCAGGATGGCTAATCGCACAGGCCAGAAAGGCTCACAGCCGAAACGTTGGAGGGTATTTGTTGTTGGTGTCCACCCTTCGCTCTCTTGCACTATATTTGCCAGTACTTTCCGGTCTGCTGTCTGTGATGTCTGTTTATTTCATGCTGTAGCCCCTCACATTTTACTTGCTGCAC